CAAAACGGCATCGAGTTCGAGTCGCTCGGCCCTGACATCAAGATCACCGACCCGGGGTCCGTCGAGGAGGGTGACGAGCTCGACGCCGACTTCACGCGTCTGAGATCCAGGGGCTCGCCTGCCGGCCCCGATACTGACGTAATCACGTCAGCCGGCGAGAACCTTCATAGGCCGCGGTGCGTAGCCTTCCAGAGTGTACCCAGTAGAGTGTCTCGATGAGTGTTGCACGTGCTAAATGAGACATGCCAACAGCACCTTCAGGTGGTTCCCTCTCCAGGAAAAGGTATGTCGATGTGTCTGCCCCTTATCCCACTCCCTCTCCTGCTAACACCCGAGTCCAGTATCGGCCACGGACCGACCCTATTCCAGACTCTTCTGAAGAGGAAGACGTCGGCTCAACCATTAACCACGCGTATGACCAGATGTTTGGCCACGCAGATGGCTTCCCTTTTGCGGTTGGTGGCCAACCTCAAAGCGTCACCGACCTACACCCGCCAGGCGTCCAAATATTTCAACTATGGCAGTTCTACCTAGATAACGTCAACCCACTTTTAAAACTTACACATACGCCAACTCTCCAGGTTCAGATCATCGAGGCTTCGGCCAACCTCACAAGGGTATCTAAAAGCCTCGAGGCTCTCATGTTCGCCATTTATCTCATGGCCATCACAAGTCTCAACGATGATGAAGTTGAGCAGACATTTGCTGAGTCGAAATCAGTCTTACTGTCAAAATACCAGCATGGCACGCAGCAAGCTCTGTTCAACGCAGGATTCATGCGTATGCCAGACCTTACAATTTTGCAGGCTTTTTTATTGTACTGCGTAAGCGTCTTAGCCAGTGTTCAGTCTTCCTCTTATCCTAATCAGTACCAGATTGGCGTAAGGCAGAACACAGACCCGAGGTCCTTATTTTGCCTGACAGGCATGGGCGTCCGCCTAGCCCAACGCCTCGGCCTACAACGAGACGGCGCAGAATTCGGGTTCTCTCCATTCGAAGTGGAAGAACGAAGGAGGCTTTGGTGGAATATGGCTGGTTTCGACAGACGCATAGGAGAAATGTGCGGGTCGACCATCACTGCCATCTCCACTGGCGGCAATTGCAAGTTACCGCTCAATATCAATGACGCCGATCTCAATACGCATGCAAAAGATCAACCCCCTCCTCATACTGGCGCCACCGAAATGATATTTGCTTTGACGCGACTGGAGTTCGCCAAAGCCCCCGGTGGCGACAAGATGAAGGCCCAACTCTCCGCCGCCAACCCCCAAGCAGTCACAAATCTAGCCGATCACCGGCTTTCGAGCTACCTTGACCAATATGCGCATTACATGGAAGAGACATACCTGAAGTTCTGTGATCCTAAAATACCGATACATTATATGACCCTCCTCATGACGCGAGCGAGCATCTGTAAGATGCGGGTTCACTCTGGTTTCTTCCGGAGGGCTATAATGGCCCCTTCCCCTTTATCCGCGACCGAAAGTGAGGCCCTCGTAGTCGAGGCCATACGGATGATCGAATACGACAGTATGGTGCAGGCTCATGAAAGGTTAAAAGGATTCCTCTGGTACACCAAGATGCATTTCCCATTCCCCGCATATGTCTGTCTTTTGACTGAGCTCATCCATCGTACCACGGGCGATCTATGCGAACGCGCTTGGGAAACCATTTTCGAGCACGGAGAGCGGCGAAAAATGACGATTGTAACACGTACTCCCTTGCATCTCGCTTTCAGTGGACTCTTCGTGAAGGCATGGGATGCTAGAGAGGCTGCCGAAGCCGCGAACGGTCGAACCTTAGCTCCGCCAAGGCTCATTACTTTGATGAGGCAAATCGACGCCCAGAAACCCAAGAAACCCAAGGACAAAGCACCGTTACCAACACCATCTCCAACAATGCCAGTGGCCAATGTTCCGTATGCTTCCGCGGCTTCATCGTCATCTGCACCAGCAACAAACCTTGTACCCAATACGACAATGTATAATCCCGCTGACATGTTTGGCAACATGCAGCCTGCCGATGTAAATCGGCAATTTTCTATGGTATATCCCGATATGAACTTTGGCGGCGAAATGGATTGGAACTATCTCGTTCACGAGTACGGTGGGTTTATGCCTCAGCAAGGCACCATGCACGGCTTTGGTATGCCCCCAGTATTACAAGATCCCACACAGGCGAGCTCTTGGCAATGAATATGCCTGTTTAGATGGCTAACCTGGTCTTGAAATGTATAATGATCAAATGAGGTATAACCTGAGCTGGCTCGAGGGAGACTTCTTCCAGGGAATATCTTGAATATGCGCATACTTAATATCTACACGGTCCCAACTGCGGCCGCATTCGGGCTGAGCTTATACCCGAACCCTATGTCTCACTCCCTTATGGAGAGGACGATTGTATAATTAATGAGCACTCTTGGAGCACAGCTACGTGCTTATATTTACTACCGATGCTATCATCCTGATGCATTTGGATCATGACCCTCGCACTCTTGCCGTATTGGCAGATCTAGCCATTGCCAATGCCAATTTCAGTGTGATTCTACCATCATCTTCCAGTCTTCAGCAGCCGACCCGTGAACTGCCCCGATCCACCACCGGACGGCCTGAGCTATGCGGCCGGAACAAATCTTGTCAGCCCCACTGAACCACTTAGCTAAAGAGGTAATTACTGATCTAGCAAATGCAGAGTGTCCACCTACTTGTGAAATCGCTCCAATCATAGGATACAATAAACTGCGAATCACCATCGGTCAATCATGTTGCGAACATGACGCTCGCTTGCGGTTTCGTGGTGTAGTTGGTTATCACGTCAGTCTAACACACTGAAGGTCTCCGGTTCAAGTCCGGGCGAAATCAATGATTCTCTTTTGCCTCCTTCCTCCGTGGCATCCTTTTTGGTTCTATGAAATATTTTTTTGATCGTGAACTTGTGATATTTATCACCAGGCAGTCAGATAGTCCTGTGGCTTCTTGCACTAAGGAGCTATTAACTGGAGTATCACCCTGCTCAAAGCTCCAGGTTGCCCAAACCTCTTACTCGATAACATCATGTCAAGTTGAGGGGTCCCTTGCAGGAGGCGACGGAGACCGCCGATGTCTGCAATACATCTTCAGCTGGATGGCTGATTTTCTTGCATAAAATAGGTGCAACCATCGATCAACGCCGAGCTCGATCAACAGACAACAAGCGCCATTGGCCACTATCATCCGGAGTACATACATACTAAATCAATAGAATTCTCGCTTTGGTCCCTGGCTGGCTGCGAACGAACACCATTTACATGCTATGACATTACGATCGATCAACAGCTTCCATCAGCGTGAATACGGTTCAGAGACCCGTGAGCGTCGACAACATGACAACTCAGCTACGACTCGCATCAGGCAACGGACCTGTCTCCAGGACGGTATTGAAAACGCCGCCACGAGACGCACTGCCGAGCGATATCCCCATCATAGACGTGTCGGGGATCTTCAGCGACTCGCTGGCGGCGCGCAAGACCGTGGCATCGCAGATCCGCGACGCCGCGACCAACAACGGGTTCTTCTACATCAAGAACCACGGCATCGCCCCTTCGATCCCAGAAGCCGCGCGCGAGCGGCTGCTCGCGTTCATGCGGCAGCCGGCAGAAGTCAAAGAGCGCGCGCACATCGGCCAGTCGAAGTACTTCAACGGCTGGAAGCCGCCGGGCTCGCAGCGCATCAACCCGTTTGAGAAGGTCGACGTGCGCGAGACTTTCTCGTGGACGTACGATCCGCGCTTTGATCTGAGTGTGCAGGACGGCGATGACATACCCCCGCATATTGCGCGCTACTTGCGCTGCGAAGACTTCCACTGGCAAGCTACTGCGAACCTCCAAGGGTTTCAGGACGCTATTGTAGCCTACTGGCGTGCGTGTCTGGCTCTTGCGCGCGCGTTGGTCCGCGCTTTCGCGCTCTCGTTGGATTTGGATGAGGATTTCTTCGCGGAGAAGTTCACGCACCCCGACGCTGCGCTCGCGCTGAACTACTACCCTCCTTTGCCCACACCACCATCACCCACACAACAAAAGGAGAACGACCAGGAACAGGGACAGGGGAAGGTGAAGGAGCAAGGAGAAGAAGAAGTATCGATCGGTTCGCACACAGATTTCCAGCTGTTCACGATCCTATGGCAGGACGACGCGGGGGGGTTACAAGTCCTCAACAGGGAGGGCCAATGGCTGCACGCTCGGCCGGTGGCCGACACGTTCGTGGTCAACATGGCCGACTACATGCAGCGGATCACGAACGGCCGGTACGTGAGCACGGTGCACCGCGCGCTGAACCGGAACCCCGTTGAGCGCGTCAGCATGCCTTTCTTTTTCGGGTTTAATCTGAATGAGAGTTGTGGGGTGCTGGATTCGTGTGTTGCGGAGGGCGAGGAGAAGAGGTATGAGGAGATTGCTTGCGAGGAGTGGGTGATGAGGCGCGCGAGGGCGATGCATACGGTTGATGTTGAGACATGAAGTAAATAAGGGATGGAATAAGGGTTACTTTATTCGAGATATATGAAATAAGCATGTGCGTCGAGCCCTCGTGCAGTGAAGATGAACAGGAAACATGTATACGACTGGGAATGCCATGATCTGTAGGTGCTTCTATCTCTAGCCATATTGTGAACATGCGTGTATACAAACATACACCAGATTTGGCGCTCAAATTCCTGGCCTCTAAAGCATGCCAGCATTTATATATAAGTTACTTAACCATACACGACAAGAAAAATTACAGTTGTCATCTGATAATTGTTGGAATTTCTTCGTGTACTTTTCCGATACATACTGAATTAGTCGACACCTATTTTGTAATTACCCCGTATTCCATGTCAGCATGTCAATCAAATCAACAAGACAAAAAAGAAAGAAATGGAATCGTAGTTTCAACACCTCTGAAAAAAGCGAATAACACCGATCGGTCGTGATAAAAGGCGATGATAATGAGAATCTCAAGGGTAAAAATATAAAAAAGGATAATCGACCAGGGCCTGATTCGAACAGACGCTCCCGAAGGAAGTAGATAGCTGCGAGTTCAAGGGAATCCTTGGCATTCGAGTCTACCGCGTTAACCACTCCGCCACCTGGCCGCTAACGGACAAATTGTCCCAAACTGCTCTATAGAATGCCTGAGGCTTGTATCAAAATATTAGTTGCATTTGTCCCGCCGAAACGCATCAATACTTCTGGCAGTGGTAGCCAAGAAGCGCAGCAATTATTACAGTATTCAATAGCTTTCACTATTGGCCATTCTAGACGTCCGTGAGGAATCTTTTGCTTGTACGAAGTAATTATTACTTGAAGCTAACATATTTGCCGACTGGGTCATCCATTAGGCATCTAATATTCAAACACACACCACGCCTAGCCCTAGATTTTGATCTAGATCTTGTAAATTCCGCCTTTATACTAGGTATTTCAATATACATACATTATCCTTTCCCCCAACCCTAAGCCGTCCCTCTAACATCCTTGAACGTGCAAACCAGCGGCTTGCGATCCCACAGCACAAAGATCTTCTGGTCGGTCCAGTCGGCGCCCACGTCCGACTCGATATCGAAGTTGAAGATGATCTTCGCGAGCAGTAGGCGCGCCTCGTGCCAGGCCATGCTCATGCCGATGCAGTTCCGCGTCCCCACGGAGAAGGGCTGGTGCGCGTCGCGGTTGTCGTCTTTGTATTCGGGGTCGCCGAGCCAGCGCTCTGGGGCGAACGTCATGGGGTTTCTATAATTAATAGATCAGGTCAGTAAACATTGATTCTCATCTCTTTGGATTTATTATGCGTCTTTTCATATGCGTGAAGATATAAAGATATAGATCGAGAGAGGAAGCGAGCTCACCGGAAGTTTTCTGGGGACCAATACGCGGCCAGCGGTTGCACGGAGGCGCGAGTCCCCTCCGGGAGCCACTTGCCCATGACCTGGTTTCCGCCCTTCGCCATCACGCGAGGCTGGGCTGATGCCGCTGGCGGGTAGATGCGTAGACCTTCTCGTAGACCTAGAAACAGATACCGGTATTAGCTACAAGTGCCGATGGCACGAAGTCAGAGCTCCTGTTACTTACAAGCATTCAGGTATCCTAGTTTGCTGAGGGCTTCGAAAGTGATCTCGCTGTTGGATCTAAATCTGCCACGGATTTCATCGACCAGAATCTTCATTTTCTCTGGATATCTGGTTAGGTAGAACGTTAGACCTGTAAGTAGAGCGGCTGGTCTCGAATGTCAGTAATGCCTATAGCTTTCGGGTGTCTCGATATGACTCAGCAACTTACATGTTGTCTCCGTCCCGGCTATCATGAATAGCTCCGCATTTGCATACATCTCGCCCTTGGTGAGAATATCAGCCTCCACGACAAGATTCCAGAGGTCAGGTTGATCTGATCCTTTCTGAAGTCGCCCGTCGACACGGCTGATGGTGTGATAGAAATAGTCCAGGCGCATCTTTTTCACAGCCGCCGGTTCGAGATATTCAAAAAGGTTCTTAGTTAGCTTATTGGACATAATGAATTGCATGATCGGTATCGTCTAGAGGCACGATTCATATTAGGCGATGCTATAGAGTAAAGCAATTATTCGAAACTTACCTTTACACCCTTGTAGCTCATTTCTACCCAACCCGAGTACTGATTATTTTCCAGCTGACCAAGAGACTCTCCAAACGTGAACTCTGCCATGATGTCAAAGGTGGTGAAGTCGTACAATTCGGTCATGTTGCAAGTGCCGCTCTTACGAGCACTTGCAACCATGAGGTCGGCGTACTTTTGGAACATAGGTTCCTGGCGTCTCAGCGCCTGCTCGGAGAAAGCAGGCGAGAAGACCCGTCTCACAGTACCATGACGAGCGGCGCTCCGCTCCGTGACCATATGTTGGACGTCGTCCGGCCTACCAGGCATTTTAAATTCCTTCACATTCTCCAACCGCCCCTTCTGAACGGTATAAATATCACGCCACGCCTGGGCATCGGTAAAGCTAAGATCGTCGGGGCCGTAACGGACGACCGGTCCATACTTCTGGTGGTTCCGGATCTGCCACCGGGCTGCTTGGCCCGTGACGTGTGCCCACCAGTACGGAATCCGAGTGATGGCTGCGAGCCGCGGACCCGGATAGCTGCGAAGCGGGTGAAGATAGAGGGCGTATATGGGATATGTTATGAGGTACAGCACGCCTAGAACTAGGAGCACTTTGAAGCCGGTGGCACCGAGTAACACGGCCCCCTGGGCACCTCCGGATATGTCGTGAACTGAGGCCATGATGTTTATCGTCGTTGGTCAGTTGCCCATCCGCGACCTGGACAGGAATGTTTTGGTCGAAGACATCCAGACGAAGATGTCTGGGTGGGCGCGCGTTGGGCATCCGTGGCTTTTTCCCTGGCCATTTTCGACGTAATGTAGGGGTTTCGTCACAAGCGTTCTAGCGCTTCCTTACGAGGAGGTTAGTTAGCTACCTACCTAGCTAAGTGTCATGCAGGCTGACCCATCTCAGCAACTGCTCTATGCATAGAATCGCTCTGGCGATGCGCTCTTGGGAACTAGTCGACTTGTGCCTGTTTGGAGCAAGGTATAATTGGTTCGTGATCCCTGCCACATATTCGGCTAATCCGCTATCCGTTGTTACTTATGTGTGTAACTTCTATTACCTATCTGTTGGAATGAGTCCGTGTAGACATATACATATGCAGGTGGTACTCCGTGCCTAGGTTAGTAAAGATAGGGGAGAAGCCAGCTGAAATCAACGAAAAGCAAGGTCTCTGGAAGCCTCTCACAAGCCCAATCCGATTTGAACGATCCTCACACCGCCTTGCGATCGCTACACTTACTCAGTCAGAGTTGAATTTCCTCCACACTACTCCGCACATCCCTGGAGCAATCCCGTTGTTGGTCATGGTGTGATCTCGAGATCTCAATTATGAGATCTTGGCTCACTGCACGTATTGTTGCAGCTGCGGGTTAACCATTGTTGGATTGGCTGTTGGCCAACAATTGCCTTGACACTGTAAGCACTAGTATCACGATCTGTGCTACAGTCAAGTCTCGGAGAAGATAGCAAGATCGGGTTCGCCACCCTTTCTTCTGGAATCACATGTGCTCACATGTGCTCACATGTGCCTGTACCTCTCCTTGGTTGCTAATGGATATACTTATCCGTCACAGTAACTTCGTGGCGTCGTCGATAGACGGTGGTCTAGCTATGGAGACCAAACCGCTAGAGGCAGGCTGTAGAAGCCATGTAAATGTGCGATGTGGATAAGTACGTCCTCGCCTATCAGGCCAGAAAGGAACGATGCATTATGATCTATCAGCTAATGCATAACCGAGGAAAACCCACATCGTACTTCCCGTGTTCAGCATCCGTGGCCGTGGCGCTACGATGGTGTCACTACTGTAGCTTTGACATCGGCGGGTAGTTCTTACCGCTGTCGATAGACGACTACTGCTGATATACAATGGTATCGAGATGATTACGAGATGAAAGGTCTCGAAGCTAAGTATCCTTGTTGCAGCACGTTTTGACTTGAAGTAACGGCCCAAAGCGGATGAATGCATTGTCATATCGGCGATAGCATAGAAAATCCTTCGGCCGGAGCCCTAGGAGTTCAAAGCGCTCCAAATGCATTTGAAGGCCAGAGCTTTGCCTGACGTGGAATAGCCGAACAGTTAGCTCCTGATAGACGTGGTATTATGCTGTTCGTAGAGGCACGAGCATCAGCTATGCCAGCTTGTGGATGTGCTAAGGGTGTGCTAAAGTAGAATTGGAAAGGTTTCTTTGAAGGTATCGTCAACGGCACAATTTTTAAAGCAGAAAAAGCGCACCTGTGAACTAGGGGATGAATGAAGTCTATCAAGTGGAACGATCTTGGTGGATACTGGAATTACCCGCCCCACTCCTACACATATAGGACCTATTAAGGCGGCGGTTTTGTAACATATGACACGTTATCGAGGAAAGCAAATTTCTTCCCATCTCTTTCCAAAAAAGAACAAGAAAATTTTGTCTGCCGTATCGGTACATGCATGCCAGAAAGATTATGTTGGATGCTTATCATCTTAATTGCAAGCATATTAGAGGCCCACAGCGACTCCACTTTAGATTAGATGCATTAGCGCACTGCAAGAAGCCTGCTAGTGCTATTTTTATCTCACAAATTGGGAACTCTTCTCCAGTACGGAGTAGATATTCTATTTTTTTTTTTTACTATGGTCAGTACGGAGTACGAACCATGCTACGCGTGCCATGTGCCAATTGCTACGCGTGCCATGTCTCCACTTGATTCGCTTGGCTCTTACCCTGTAACCAGACTTTGGTACGAAATTGAGCAAGGATTGAATCACGAAGGTATTTACAATGTCGCTGGTCGTTCGGCGCTGGTCAATTACTTAAGTACTTCGTGCTTACCAAGTTACCCGGTAATTAGGCCGTGAACTTGTATGTCTTTCTATTCGGAGCTAGTTTTGTTGTTTGTAGTTCTGTTTAAATGTTTATGTAACCCGTATAACGGTAAGTTATACATACAATAGCCCAGCAGCAAGACTTGTAATATCTCGGTACGGGGCACAGAATAATCAGGCTGTAATTACTAATAAGTAGTGCTAGAGTCTTAAAACACTCACTTACGACATAGCAGTACTCTTGGGTATTCGAGCTTCTTACTCAAATTGGGCTGCTAAGCGAACTAAGTGGAGACATGGCACGTCTAGCAATTGGCACATGGCACGCGTAGCATGGTTCCGGAGGACGGAGTACAAGTTCATAGAATTGTATGCCATCTTAGCATAATGGTATGGAGCAGGTATACTGCTGCCTCATGGTCTCTACGGAGTATTTAGTGTTAAATTTCTGTCCAGTTTATATTGCTGACTAAGTTCGACGTCGATAGTTCAGAATATATTGTATCAGCCCTATTGCAACAACGATATAAGTGTGTTGTGTTAGAGGAGAGGGGTCAAGGACCTGGGCGCTTTTTGATTTCAGGAACTGGGTTTCTAAATTCGATGATAGTTAATCATTAAACAGCACCCTCAGATAGCAATAACCTGACATGAATCGCAAAAAAAAATAAAAAAATTAATAGATATTACGATTTAGAGTGACATT